TGTGATCAATGTGGAGTTTTCAATGTTTGAACTAAATGGTGCGTTAAATAAATGTGGGAAGACGTCCCCAGGGGGGGACGATATTAGCTACTGTATGTTAAAGAATCTTAGTAATCGTAGTAAGGAAAAGCTGTTAAAATTGTATAATAAAGTCTGGGCAGAGAGTGTGTTGCCAGAGCAGTGGAAAGAAGCGGTAGTGGTGCCAATTTGTAAGCCAGGTAAGAACCCCAGTGCGGTCGAGAGTTATAGGCCTATAGCCTTGACCTCACATGTTTGCAAATTAATGGAGAAAATGGTCAATGAGAGATTAGTATACTTTGTGGAAAAAAATAGGTTGCTTAAAGACCATCAGTATGGGTTTAGAAAGGGCAGGAGCACAATAGATCCAGCAGTTTTATTGGAACATGACATAAGAAAGGCCCAGGCTAACAAGGAGAGTGTGGTGGCAGTGTTTTTTGATGTGGAAAAAGCCTACGATATGATGTGGCGGGAAGGGCTTATAATAAGGTTGCGTCAGATGGGAATAAGAGGGGAAATGCTTGGATGGGTCAGACAGTTTCTAACAGGGAGAAAGATTTTGGTACGAGTAGGATCTGAGATAAGCGCAAGGTATGAGGTAGACAATGGGACGCCACAAGGGAGTATTGTGAGTCCAGTGTTCTTCTCCATAATGATAAATGAAATTTTTTGTAATGTTGAAGGGTCTGTTGGAGTGTCACTGTTCGCGGATGATGGAGTAGTATGGAAGCGAGGAAGGATTGTAAAATATATAGTGGAGAAGACTCAAGAAGCGATACAGAAAGTTGAATCGTGGTCTGTAAAGTGGGGATTTAGGTTCTCTGTTGCAAAAACAAAAGTAATGAGTTTTACGAGAAAGAAAAAGGCTGTTGTTAATATTAATCTGTATGGGGAGAGACTGGAGGTAGTGAATGAGTTTAAATATTTAGGATTATGGTTTGACAGTAGAGTGACATGGAAGGGGCATATTCAAAAGATTGTAGAGAAAAGAAAAAAAGTTTTAAATATAATGAGATGTTTGAGAGGTCGGGATTGGGGAGCAAGCCGGGCCTGCCTTAAGAAGGTCTATGTTGCGCTTGTTAGGTCAGTGATTGACTATGGATGTGTGGTGTTTACTTCTGCGTCAAAAAGTAATCTTAAGAAGTTAGATGTGGTTCAGAGCCAAGCCTTAAGGATATGCAGTGGTGCAATGACGTCAACTCCAGTGGCAGCCTTGCAGGTTGAGATGGCAGAGATGCCATTGGAACTACGAAGAAGGCAGCTAATGCTCAATTACTGGGCTAACCTCAGAGGGTACAGCAGAGGTCATCCAGGGTTGGAGGTGTTAAGACCCTGTCAAGAGAAATTCAAACTTCAAGTGAATAGCTTTGGATGGGTCTGTGAGAGTGAAGCGAAGAAGCACAGATATTTCAATTAGACATGAGTCCAACAGTGCCACTTTCAGTTATCCCTCCTTGGAATATGAAAGAGGTAAGCATTGATCTGGGTCTTTTAGGTAGAGAAAAGTGTGGAAGTAAGGAGTAGAGAAATATCTAGGGAAATATGGGGAGCAAGTAATGGTTTTTACGGATGCGTCAAAGTTAGAGGATGGGAGGATTGGAGTTTCTTTTGTCATCCCAGTACTAGGTGTAGTAGGAAAGAAGAGAATAAGTGACAATTTAGCAGTATATACAGGTGAGCTTATAGCAATTCTATTAGCATTGGAATGGGTGGAAGAAAGTGGACCAGAGAGAAGTGTAGTAGCATCAGATTCAAGTAGTGCAGTAGTAAGTATTAAAAACATGAATTCGAGATCCAGACCAGATATAATAGTAGAGATAGGACACACTTTAGAGAGAATATATAGGAAGGGTAAAGTGGTGACATTAGTGTGGGTTCCAGCTCACATAGGGGTGGAGGGAAATGAGTTGGCAGATATGTTTGCAAAAGGAGGGGCAAAAAAAAGGGGAGGTTGACTTTCCAATTAGGTATAGTAAAGCAGAAATCAAAAGCATAATAAAAGTAAAAGTGAGAGAGCAGTGGCAAGAAGGGTGGCAAGAGGGGTTAAAAGGAAGATTTTTGTATGAAATACAAAAGGAAGCAGAGCTCAAGATGAAGGATTGGGGTTTCGCTAAATAGAAGGGAGGAAGATATATTGTCAAGGTTGAGATTAGGGCATACAGGACTAAATGATACATTGAGAATAATAGGGAAGCATGAGACAGGCAATTGTGATGTGTGCAGGACAAGGGAAAATGTGCGAACGAGTACTGAGAAGTCATAAAAATTGGATTTTGTGTAAAGGATATATTGAAAGTTTGTGATAAAGAGGTTGTTAGAAAAGAATTGTTTAAGTTTCTGAAGAAATCTGGGTTGGAAGGTAGGATTTAAGGCTAGGATCTAGTTGTTGTCTGTGGGGGCCATCCTGGCCCACACTCCACTCCGGAAGGTGGCAGTAATGCACCAAAAGTTGTTTGCCAACTGCCATAAAACAACACGAGAAGAAGAAGAAGAAGGTTCAGGAAGTGCTGTGGGGGAAGCTGTGTAGGGAGTGGCTGCAGGTGTGTAGTGTGCTCACTTTACTGTTTGATGCCTTTGTATTTTGTTTGACGTTTATTGTACAAACTTGCCTCATTTAGGAGCCTTCTATTTGCCAAAGAATAGTGATCAGCTCGCTTGTGAGGAGGAATACAAGGAATTGGTGAGTGTAGCTTATTTCACACTGTAGCATGTCTAGCCACATCCATTTTGTATTAGTGGAGTGGTTAACATGTGCTTTATGCAAGCAGCCTTTATGCCTATTCTGCTTTGCTTTTTTTACTTATGAATGTTATTTAATGATATTGCATTCATTGTTTAACTTATTGACTGTTTATTGAATGTTCATTGAATGTTTGATTTATACTGTTTAATGACTACAGCTAGTACATTATGTTTATATACACTGTGAATATTTATATACTAGTACTGATATGTTTTTTAACCCTTTGATAATGATGGATTATAGTACAACCTGTGCTGTATTGTAGAATTGTGTGCACACTGGAGCTTAACTATTTAGTTAGCTTTGTATTTGATTTGAGCTTTGGTCCTGTTCTAAAGGCCAGGGGCCGTATTCCTAAAGATTCTAAGAGTCCTCTCAGAGAGCTCCTATCTTAACCTAAAAACTCCTAGCTAGGAGTCTTAGCTTAAAAGTTATTCCAGAACACTCTTAGAGAACTCTGAGCAAGGAATTGACAACAACTCTTATCTTAGTGAGGAGGCGTGGCCGACCCCGTTGCTAGGTATTGGTCATCATTTCAGACGCTGTGATTGGTTGATCCTAAAAGTTAGAGAAACCATATTTTTGATAATGGGCAAAATAAGGATCCTCTAATGGACAAACTCAATCATAGAATCTAATCTTAGGAAGACTGTGTCATTGTAATAATCAGAAAAGGTAGAAAGTCAGATGTATTTACTAATATTGTCTAACTTACTGTTGACTTTTACACCACATCATTAGAGCTTGCTCAGCACCAATTTATCACACATATTTAACAAACCTATATAACATGAGCAATTATATATTAGATGATTATGATAACATTAGGATTAGTAAAGGCTGTGATACTGAAAGACGTAAAGGGAATTAAGGAAAAAATATGAATATAAGCATTTTATACATACACAAATCAAGTGCATGTTATTGTGAATGTCACTGTTGCATAACTGTAAATACACCATGGAATAAACTAAGCTGTAGCAACCACACTATTTAAGTTAATTTAGAATGATAAATAGAGGGTGGGAGTTTAAAAGTATTAACTTCTTCACACTCCTTTTTGAACTGGATTGCTGTTAATAAAACAAAGCTGTATATTTGTACATGATGACTTTTACATGATTGACTTTTAAACATGATTCCTGCAGGATCCAATCTGCAGCGTTTTAGTGATTCACTGTCATCCAATGTATAGAATATTTCTCCTGCCTCTACCGTCCACCATTTTGTCCTCTTAGGGAACTTTTAAGTTGCTAAAAGTCCTCCTCTCAACTCTTAAGGGATCTCACCTTAGGAGCACTCTTAAGAGCTAGGATTCTTTAGGAATAGCTTTTTTCTTAACTAGAAGCTACTCCTCACTTTTAGGGGAAATTCTAAGAGTTGGTCAAGATTCTAAGAAAATTCTTAGAATTTGGCCACTAGGAGCAACTTTTAGCACTAAGAATCTTTAGGAATACGGCCCCAGGTTTTGACCCTGATGGCGAGCTGAAGGACTAGGCCTAGAGCCTACAGAGCCCACTGGATCTGGAGTCACATATTCGCATCTCCCCTGCTGGCCGGTAGGGGGCTCCTTGCAGCCCACAAACTCTCTCCCCACTTTGCACGGAACTTTTGAAATCCACTCATCCACATCTCACAAACTCTTGTGCACCGCCCCCCTCTGGTCAACTGGTCAAACCCAGAGTGGGTTATTAATGAACTGTGCCGCGGGCTGAGAAACTGGTTTGTTGAATTCTATCACTGGTTGCTTTTGGAAGTGAATACTGTGAAAACAGTTTCTATACATTGTACTTGTGCAGTGCTGAATGAATATTGATTCGAAACACGTGTTACCATTGAATGGCCATTCACTGAGTTTGGGTATATGTTTTGTGTGTTACTGTATTGTTTGTCAATTTTGTCTCCTGCCACTCCCTCCTTGAGCCAAATCTAGACTTCTGACTACTAGCCTAATACAACTCTATTACATTACTATTATTTTCTTATTACACGTTTATTACTTAGTACTTACTGTGTTATAACTATATTCTAAGATTTTGTAGCTTCTTGTTTGTTCTACTTAGTTTACGTATTATTTTATGACACAGGGGTTACACAAGAATACCCAACATATAAACAAACAATATGTGCCCCCTCTCCCATTAAAGTTCCAGTTCACAATTATTCAATAACTCTTTAGAAAAGTGAAGAAGTGAATTGAAATGCATGACATACAGTACGCCGGCACACTCGTTCTCACCGAGCTGCAGCTGCCTCTCTCGCGCCCTCAGGTCCTCCAGCACCTTTTCATAGTGCTCCTTAAACGCACTGATGTCTGCGTCCAGGAAAGAAGGCTCGTCCTCGCCCTCCTTCTCCTCCTTCAGCTCAGTCAGCCTGGCCTCCAGCAGATCCACCTGAGGCTGCAGCGAGGACAGGCGCGAGATCTCCTCCTATGGCCCCACCACCACCACCACAAAAGCAACACACACAAAAAACGCAGGTCAAACAAGTACACAATGAGATACATAGAAAGGCTGCTGTTTTTGCCACTCCATTTGCCTCCTGCTTAATCAGTCGTACTCAATCCAACTGTTGAAAATACTTAATGAATAGGAAGCCATGCAGGAAATTGGACTACCTCAGCAAAAAAAGGGGAAAAATGAAACACAGCACAGACTTTATTTAACTTTAAACGAGCTAAAATAGAGCAATAAACGGAAAATAATTGCAAATTGAAATGAATTATGAGAGCCAATGCACTGTACGTGTCGGGAATTAGAAGGAAAGAAAGATAAGATAAGATCGCTTTATTTATCTCACAGAGGAGAAATTTACATAAAGAGAGCCAAAGTGACAAGCTGCACAGCGGGAGCTGGCGCCGGAAGGATAAGGATACGAAAGGATAATCGCTGCATTGAGTAAAGAGCACGATGTAACTTGTCCCGCCCTTGTCTTTATGAAGAGAAAACCCCGCAACACAAATCGTTATAGGGTCAGAGTTACACACCTACGGCATCACACACGCCCAATAACAAAACACACACACACACACAGACTACACACACTACACACACACACAAAACCTAACAAAGTAAAACCAAGTCCTTGAACTTTAAAAAAAGACTAATTTTCCTAATTTTTGTAGCAATATCCAGCACTAACAGTTACACACACACACACAAACACACACTACCTACACGCACACACACACAACCTACATATACACACACCCCAAAATGCATTAAACCGAATTCTGGTTCTCCCTCCCCTCCCGACTTTCTTTTATTCCTGTATGAATCTAAATGTAGATGTATCCTTGCTCCATCCATCCATCCATCCATTTTCTTCCCTTCAATCCATTTCTGGGTCAGGGGGGTGGCAATCAGAGCTGCCACCCAAGTCTCATAGCACCAGCCCCTCACTGACCCTCTGCAGGTGGTGAGTCCACAGGAGGACGGCTGCTCTCTGAGTGAGAGCATAGCCTTGATCTTTCAGTGGGGGCTTTGGGCAAAGTGGGGTTAAGTGTCTTGCCCAAGGACACAACGACAGCAGTCATCAGTGGGAGTCGGTGGAGAAGGTGCAGAGGTGGGAATTGAACCCACGACCTTCTGGCCTTAAGGCCAATGCTCTACCAACTGAGCTACTGTCGCCCCCATTGCTCCACATTTCAAAATAAAGCTAAAAAACAAAACAAAAAAACAATGATACTACGAAACTATGGAATAACATGTTTTTTCTGTAGCATTTACCATGATCAAGAATGTTCCAGAGAAATTATAAAAGTCGAATACAGTAATCTAACACATGAGGTTTACTGTATACCAAGGCAGAGCAAGCTCGTCTCCATGGAAACGGACTTCTCATCTATACACTAATTATATACCAATTACAGTGGCGGGAAAAGACTATTGCCCACAAGAGATGCTCCGTTTTTATGATGACTTTATTTCACGCGCGCTCTGGACATAAAAAGTGACTTATAATTAAAATTCCCTAATAAATTTCTCATTAATTTTCCAAACTCGCTTGTTATGCAAAGTGGGGTGGAGAAATCATGCTTTGTGTGTGTAATATGAACGAGAATTTAGGACCAGAGCGGAATATCAACTTCTTTATGGAGGTCGCTCTTGTGGGCAATGTTGAAAGAAGGTCACCCCATACTGTCAGCGCGGGGACACATGCACTTTCGACAGAGTGCATTGTGGGATATCAATTCCAGTGACGGATATGGCACGAAACATGGTCACAGGCAAAAGTAACAAAGGATACAATAGACAGGAGGGATGGGGGTGCTATGGAAGTCACACAGAGAAGCTTCAATTTTGACGTTTCACAAAAAAAATGATGAAATTACGAAAGTGCCTATGACAGGTTGAAATACTCGTTTTAGTGAAAATTCTGCTAATTATACTAATACTAATGATTTGACTTTTATAATTTGGTTCGTAATCATTTGGTTGTTTTGTTTTTTACCTGATTATCACATCACGCCATGCAAAATCTCCACTACTGAGAATATTAGTTGATAATTACCGACAGAAATTTATTTGTTTGTATGAACTTGGCCCATAATGGGGTTGAATATTGTTTGTGTTAAGGCAAAACAACACAGAGGGCCAATCAAAAAGTGATGAAAAATAATTCAAAAATTGCTTGAATGGAGTGGATTTTGTCCCACTTCTGTCTGTGTTAGAATAAGGCAGAATACGAACCTGTAGCTCGCCAGCCCCTTACAGGTAGCTCGCCAAAGGAATTAGAATTGAACAAATACACTTCAACGAATACTTTTTGACCCATTACATATCTATTATAAGAATAAATATAGGGTTTTACAGTATTATGGTGCTTTTTGTGTGTTCTCTGAGTTTGGGCGTAATTATTAGATCGACTTTTATTACGACTGCAAAAAGGAGTAGCTCTCTGCCTGTTTGTATAAAAGTAGCTCTCCGATTGAAAAAGGTTGGAGACCCCTGGAATATACTCAATGGCTCGGTCCCAACTAAACGGGACAAAGCCATTTAGTCTTGCATTTTGAGCTCATCCCAAAGGAGACATTTCTTTTTACTTTGTCCCATTGGGAAATCTAGTTTTATGAGTTTTACTGCAGTCAGAATGTGCTCAAATTGTCATTTTTTCATCTTATCAATTTTACCCGCCTTTTTGCAGTGCAAGACATGTCCATACTGTCTGTGCACTTTCAAATACAACACAAACTTAGGCACATGTCCAGACCAAACCCGCTCTAATCATTTAATATTTAACTTTTTTTTTTTGTGCAGCCACCTTTCCTTCTGCAAAGCTCTTCTACCGCTGTCGGCTCAAGACAAGCCCGACAGGAAGAAATCGTTACAGCATTTGGGGAAAGTGAAAAGTCCGTGTGATGTGAGCTAACAGGATAAGCGTCTAAAGCTGGGTAAATATGAAGGCGCATGCTTCGTCTCGCCCCGATATCGTTCGATTCTTTCTGCTGAATTATTTATCCACATAAATTAAATACAACTCATCTTTTATTGGTTTTGCAAGGTCAAAAGCGCCCACAAGCTCCAGCTCTTTATAAATGGCTAATGTGTTGTTATTGTACATGCAAGGTCTCGGCGGTCACAGAGGAGCTCGCATATATATCCTTACTTATATATATATTTATAGTTTTCATTATGGTTTGGTATAGATTGAAAGCCTTGAATATGGATTGTTTTTAAGCAGTGGCAAGGGTAGAGGTGAAATACTTTAAGTTTGATGGTAATAACAGTAATGAAGTCCATACAATACACATACTATATACATATGACTATAGGTGTGCTAAAAGTATATGTATTTTTAATTATAGATTCAGAATGTTTTTTAGAATGGAATAACTTTTTTAGAATTTCATATATTTTATAGTATCGATTTTTTTTTTTTTTTTTTTTTTTAAATATTGCATAGTTTTTTTTAGAATTGTCTTTTAGAATTTAATAGTGGTTTTAGAATAGTTTTTTCAAATGTAAAAACAATTCTATTAAAAAAAATATTCTTTTTTTTAGAAATACACTTTTTTTGGATTGTCTTTTATAATTTTTATAGATATTTTTTTTTTTTAGGATTGCATAATATTTTAAGGATACTCTTTTTTAATTAAACAGTCTTTTAGAACAGATTTTATTTATTTTTTACAGTTTTTTTAGAATAGATTTTTTTAATTTAACAGGTTATTTCTTCAGAATTGAATACATTTTTAGAATATTTTTAGAATTGAATATGGTTTTTAGAATAGTTTCTTTTTCCTTATTTTGATGAACTGATCTCTCTCTCTATATATATATTTTTAAACTATAGATTGCAATATTCCTAGACCCACACACTGCAAACACAATGCGAAGAACGAGAAGATGTTTCGACGATCCATCTCCAAAAACGATCTCCAAAAATATCTCCTCTACCGTCAAACCAATGAAAGACACGATGGGGAATAAAACCAGATTTACTTACACAAAACAGCTGCAACAAACAGAAGCATGGGAAGAGAAGCCACAAGAATAAGCCAAAGAAAAATCGTGTACACAGAAACACTTTCGGCGGAACTCCAGCAGGTGGTCTTACCCGGCATCGGTCTAGCTGCACTCTGAGGGGCTCCGGTTCGGCCGCTGGAGGCTGCTGGACTTTGAGCCAGTTCTCGCTGTTGTCTACGGCCTGTTCGCATTGTTCAAACAGGTTGTAGAAAGCCAGGACCTACACATGGACAAAGAAAACCATTTTTACTTCCAAACTCTTTGCAAGGAAGAAGAACACAATACACGACATGATTTCGTTTTGATGCGAAGCGATAAATAAAAGTGGTGGATCGTCCTTGTGGATCAAAATGAAAAGCATTTTATAAGTGATGTGATGTGTTGTGGTTAATCAAGGACTATTCATGATTTTACCTTGAGCACAAAGGCGGAGAACCTTCAGATACCGGACCAATAACAATTTACAGAGAAAGAAATAAGTGGTGTTTGAAAAGTGGCGTTCGATAAATGATATTTTACTTGCAACTAAAGTCAACTGTGTGAAGCCTTACATTTCTTGCCTGTGGTTTCAATCTGTTTATTGGGGTTGTGTAAAGCACTTTGTCACTCTATCTATGTGCTATAGTGAAAAGTAAGTGAAAATGATGCAATAACAATATTTCAAAAATGATCAAAAATTTACATGATTGTAGTTGTTGTTGTCCAAACATGAAAACGAATACAAAATTATTCATGACTAAAACCAGTGTAAATAGCTATGACTGTGACCTGTATTTTGTATAGCTCTAAATCACAACAGTATTCGTCTCAAAGGACTTTACAAAGTTGTTGATTCGCTAAAAACAAATCAGAGAACACCTTAAATGCAACACACACATACACTTTTTTTTTAGTTTTTTTTTTTTACAGTGTCCACAATTTATCAGCTGATGTTATCTATAATTGACGGTAGAGCTACAGTATGTGCACATTAAGCCACAGAACTCATGTGTGCATATTTCTGCGTTATGCTAACACTGCTCTGAACGCGACTATCTAAAATGAATGATATACTGTATGAACGATGTATTGGTTAGTTTTTTGCTTGTATGTAATTAACATATAGGGTTTGCACCACTACTACACGTCCACAATGTTATTTATGCTAATGAAAAATCCCCACTGGACTCGGTATGTCCAAGTTTAAATGTTTTTGTCAGAGAATGTGGCTGAATACCTTGGTCTGATAGGCCAGCCACGCCAGCCTCTCCGCCAGCAGGACACAGAACCCAGTCCAGCGCTGGTTCAACTGCTCCGCTGCCTGAGCTATGTCCTCCGCACGAGTCCCCTCTGCGGAAAGAAGACAAGAAGACAAGAAAACAGCCTGAATATCAAGGAGCAGAATCCAAACACAGGCAGGTAAAAATGTCAAACGTGCACTCAAAAGCACCCAATGACGTCGCAATTTCCATTTACTATCATTGCCAGGACAAATGTATCCCACAAGTAGCAATATTGGTATGTAAATGACCAATTTAAAGAGCACGCGTACTCTATAACTCTCTCGTGCTTTCAAAAACAGGGAGGGGGTTATGTTAAAGTTGTGTGGAAAAGGCCAAACAGGAGCAGCCTTCTGGATCATAATTGGGGGGAAGAAAGTCGCGTTGACATTCGCGCAGTTCTTCTGGGATCCGGGCGCACACATACAAACACACATAACAACACACATTCTAATTGCCTTTTAGGCCTGAGTGCTGCCTCCATTGGGCTCCATTATGTTCAAAGTGTCAGGGTTTTGGCATGGGAGTTGTGTGACCTGGCTTATGCGGATTACTGTCAGAAACACGCAGCCTTTATACAGTGTCACAGGCTTTTTTTTCGTGAGGGTATTGCGGATTTGCAGCGTTGGAAAGAAAATGCAATGAGGTGATATTATTGTGAAAAAAAAAAGTTATATGTTAGTTTGTTCAATTCAACAGTATTCATTTCGCTCAGAAGGACTGGACTGAAGCAATAAGCGTCCCCAAAGTCAATACAATCAAACTTTTCAGACCATAGAACAGAGAGAGACCAGAGAGAGAGACCAGAGAGAGAGACCAGAGAGAGAGACCAGAGAGAGAGGCCAGAGAGAGAGGCCAGAGAGAGAGGCCAGAGAGAGAGGCCAGAGAGAAAGGCCAGAGAGAGAGGCCAGAGAGAGAGGCCAGAGAGAGAGACCAGAGAGAGAGACCAGAGAGAGAGACCAGAGAGAGACAAGAGAGAGACAAGAGAGAGAGACAAGAGAGAGAGACAAGAGAGAGAGACAAGAGAGACCAGAGAGAGACCAGAGAGAGACCAGAGAGAGAGACCAGAGAGAGAGACCAGAGAGAGAGACTAGAGAGAGAGACCAGAGAGAGAGACAAGAGAGAGAGACAAGAGAGAGAGACAAGAGAGAGAGACAAGAGAGAGAGACCAGAGAGAGAGACCAGAGAGAGAGACCAGAGAGAGAGACCAGAGAGAGAGACCAGAGAGAGAGACCAGAGAGAGAGACCAGAGAGAGAGACCAGAGAGAGAGACCAGAGAGACCAGAGAGAGAGACCAGAGAGAGAGACAAGAGAGAGAGACAAGAGAGAGACCAGAGAGAGACCAGAGAGAGAGACCAGAGAGAGAGACCAGAGAGAGAGACCAGAGAGAGAGACCAGAGAGAGAGACCAGAGAGAGAGACCAGAGTGACAGACAAGAGAGAGGCCAGAGAGAGAGGCCAGAGAGAGAGGCCAGAGAGAGAGGCCAGAGAGAGAGACCAGAGAGAGAGAGACCAGAGAGAGAGACCAGAGAGAGAGACCAGAGAGAGAGACCAGAGAGAGAGACCAGAGAGAGAGACCAGAGAGAGAGACAAGAGAGAGAGACAAGAGAGAGAGACAAGAGAGAGACAAGAGAGAGAGACAAGAGAGAGAGACAAGAGAGAGAGACCAGAGAGAGAGACCAGAGAGAGAGACCAGAGAGAGAGACCAGAGAGAGAGGCCAGAGAGAGAGGCCAGAGAGAGAGGCCAGAGAGAGAGACCAGAGAGAGAGACCAGAGAGAGAGACCAGAGAGAGAGACCAGAGAGAGAGACCAGAGAGAGAGACCAGAGAGACCAGAGAGAGAGACCAGAGAGAGAGACAAGAGAGAGACCAGAGAGAGAGACCAGAGAGAGAGACCAGAGAGAGAGACCAGAGAGAGAGACCAGAGAGAGAGACCAGAGAGAGAGACCAGAGAGAGAGACCAGAGAGAGAGACCAGAGAGACAGACAAGAGAGAGGCCAGAGAGAGAGGCCAGAGAGAGAGGCAAGAGAGAGAGACCAGAGAGAGAGAGACCAGAGAGAGAGACCAGAGAGAGAGACCAGAGAGAGAGACCAGAGAGAGAGACAAGAGAGAGAGACAAGAGAGAGAGACAAGAGAGAGAGACAAGAGAGAGAGACAAGAGAGAGAGACAAGAGAGAGAGACAAGAGAGAGAGACCAGAGAGAGAGACCAGAGAGAGAGACCAGAGAGACCAGAGAGACCAGAGAGACAAGAGAGAGAGACAAGAGAGAGAGACAAGAGAGAGAGACCAGAGAGAGAGACCAGAGAGAGAGACCAGAGAGAGAGACCAGAGAGAGAGACCAGAGAGAGAGACCAGAGAGAGAGACCAGAGAGAGAGGCCAGAGAGAGAGGCCAGAGAGAGAGGCCAGAGAGAGAGACCAGAGAGAGAGACCAGAGAGAGAGACCAGAGAGAGAGAGACCAGAGAGAGAGAGACCAGAGAGAGAGACCAGAGAGAGAGACCAGAGAGAGAGACCAGAGAGAGAGACCAGAGAGAGAGACCAGAGAGAGAGACCAGAGAGAGAGACCAGAGAGAGAGACCAGAGAGAGAGAGAGACCAGAGAGAGAGAGACCAGAGAGAGAGACCAGAGAGAGAGACCAGAGAGAGAGACCAGAGAGAGAGACCAGAGAGAGAGACCAGCGAGAGAGAGACCAGAGAGAGAGAGGCCAGAGAGAGAGAGGCCAGAGAGAGAGAGGCCAGAGAGAGAGAGGCCAGAGAGAGAGAGGCCAGAGAGAGAGGCAAGAGAGAAAGACCAGAGAGAGAGACAAGAGAGACAAGAGAGAGAGACAAGAGAGAGAGGCCAGAGAGAGAGACCAGAGAGAGAGAGACCAGAGAGAGAGACCAGAGAGAGAGAGACCAGAGAGAGAGACCAGAGAGAGACCAGAGAGAGAGACCAGAGAGAGAGGCCAGAGAGAGAGAGGCCAGAGAGAGAGACCAGAGAGAGAGACCAGAGAGAGAGACCAGAGAGAGAGAGGAGGCCAGAGAGAGAGACCAGAGAGAGAGAGACCAGAGAGAGAGACCAGAGAGAGAGAGACCAGAGAGAGAGACCAGAGAGAGACCAGAGAGAGAGACCAGAGAGAGAGGCCAGAGAGAGAGAGACCAGAGAGAGAGACCAGAGAGAGAGGCCAGAGAGAGAGACCAGAGAGAGAGACCAGAGAGAGAGACCAGAGAGAGAGACCAGAGAGACAAGAGAGAGAGACAAGAGAGAGAGACAAGGAGAGACAAGAGAGAGAGACAAGAGAGAGAGACAAGAGAGAGAGACCAGAGAGAGAGACCAGAGAGAGAGACCAGAGAGAGAGACCAGAGAGAGAGACCAGAGAGAGAGGCCAGAGAGAGAGGCCAGAGAGAGAGGCCAGAGAGAGAGACCAGAGAGAGAGACCAGAGAGAGAGACCAGAGAGAGAGGCCAGAGAGAGAGGCCAGAGAGAGAGGCCAGAGAGGCAACAGTGGCTCAGTTGGTAGAGCATTGGCCTTTGAGCCTGAAGGTCGTGGGTTCGAGCCCCCCACAAGACTTTCTCCACCAACTCCCACTGATGTCTGCTGTAGATGTGTCCTTGTCTGGGAACACCTGATGCCACAGTGGGGCGGCTGTGGCTGTAAAGTGCCAAACTGCCGTTGTGTCCTTAGGCAAGACACTTCACCCACATTGCCTAGAATGAGTCTGGTCTGTGTGTGAATGGTTGGTGGTGGACAGAGGGGCTGATGGTACAGACTGGTTGCCTCGCTTCAGTCACTGTGTGTCCCAGGGCAGCTGTGGCTACAGTGGTAGTTTATCACCAACGTGTTTGGAGTGAAGGAAAAATGACATGTGAAGCGTCTTTGAGTGTCCAAAAGAGCGCTTTATAAAACCAATGCATTAGATACCAGAGAGACCATAGAAAAAGACCAGAGAGAGACCAGAGAGAGACCATAGAAAAAGACCAGAGAGAGACCATAGGAAAAGACCAGAGAGAGACCATAGGAAAAGACCAGAGAGAGACCATAGAAAAAGACCAGAGAGAGACCATAGGAAAAGACCAGAGAGAGACCAGAGAGAGACCAGAGAGAGACCAGAGAGAGAGACCAGAGAGAGAGACCAGAGAGAGAGACCAGAGAGAGAGGCCAGAGAGAGAGGCCAGAGAGAGAGGCCAGAGAGAGAGGCCAGAGAGAGAGGCCAGAGAGAGAGACCAGAGAGGCCAGAGAGAGAGGCCAGAGAGAGAGGCCAGAGAGAGAGACCAGAGAGAGAGACCAGAGAGAGAGACCAGAGAGAGAGACCAGAGAGAGACAAGAGAGAGACAAGAGAGAGAGACAAGAGAGAGAGACAAGAGAGACCAGAGAGAGAGACCAGAGAGAGACCAGAGAGAGACCAGAGAGAGAGACCAGAGAGAGAGACCAGAGAGAGAGACAAGAGAGAGAGACAAGAGAGAGAGACAAGAGAGAGAGACAAGAGAGAGAGACCAGAGAGAGAGACCAGAGAGAGAGACCAGAGAGAGAGACCAGAGAGAGAGACCAGAGAGAGAGACCAGAGAGAGAGACCAGAGAGAGAGACCAGAGAGAGAGACCAGAGAGAGAGACCAGAGAGACAGACCAGAGAGAGAGACAAGAGAGAGAGACAAGAGAGAGAGACAAGAGAGAGACCAGAGAGAGACCAGAGAGAGAGACCAGAGAGAGAGACCAGAGAGAGAGACCAGAGAGAGAGGCCAGAGAGAGAGGCCAGAGAGAGAGGCCAGAGAGAGAGACCAGAGAGAGAGACCAGAGAGAGAGACCAGAGAGAGAGACCAGAGAGAGAGACCAGAGAGAGAGACCAGAGAGAGAGACCAGAGAGAGAGACCAGAGAGAGAGACCAGAGAGAGAGACAGACAAGAGAGAGAGAGGCAGAGAGAGAGGCCAGAGAGAGAGGCCAGAGAGAGAGGCAAGAGAGAGAGACCAGAGAGAGAGACCAGAGAGAGAGACCAGAGAGAGAGACCAGAGAGAGAGGCCAGAGAGAGAGGCCAGAGAGAGAGGCCAGAGAGAGAGGCCAGAGAGAGAGACCAGAGAGAGAGACCAGAGAGAGAGACCAGAGAGAGAGACCAGAGAGAGAGACCAGAGAGAGAGACCAGAGAGACAAGAGAGACAAGAGAGAGAGACAAGAGAGAGAGACAAGAGAGAGAGACAAGAGAGAGAGACAAGAGAGACCAGAGAGAGAGACCAGAGAGAGAGACCAGAGAGAGAGACCAGAGAGACCAGAGAGAGAGGCCAGAGAGACCAGAGAGACCAGAGAGACCAGAGAGACCAGAGAGACCAGAGAGAAGAGAGAGAGAGAGACAAGAGAGAGAGACCAGAGAGAGAGAGACCAGAGAGAGAGAGACCAGAGAGAGAGACCAGAGAGAGAGACCAGAGAGACAAGAGAGAGAGACAAGAGAGAGAGACAAGAGAGAGAGACAAGAGAGAGAGAGAGACCAGAGAGAGAGGCCAGAGAGAGAGGCCAGAGAGAGAGGCCAGAGAGAGAGACCAGAGAGAGAGAGAGAGAGAGACAGAGAGAGAGAGACCAGAGAGAGAGAGACCAGAGAGAGAGACCAGAGAGAGAGAGACCAGAGAGAGAGACCAGAGAGAGAGACAGCCAGAGAGAGAGAGACCAGAGAGAGAGAGACCAGAGAGAGAGACCAGAGAGAGAGACCAGAGAGAGAGACCAGAGAGAGAGACCAGAGAGAGAGACCAGAGAGAGAGACCAAGAGAGAGAGACAAGAGAGAGAGACAAGGAGAGACAAGAGAGAGAGACAAGAGAGAGAGACAGAGAGAGAGAGACCAGAGAGAGAGACCAGAGAGAGAGACCAGAGAGAGAGACCAGAGAGAGAGACCAGAGAGAGAGAGCCAGAGAGAGAGGCCAGAGAGAGAGGCCAGAGAGAGAGACCAGAGAGAGAGACCAGAGAGAGAGACCAGAGAGAGAGGCCAGAGAGAGAGGCCAGAGAGAGAGGCCAGAGAGGCAACAGTGGCTCAGTTGGTAGAGCATTGGCCGAGTGAGAGGCGTGGGGAGACCAGAGAAGAGCCAGAGTGAGACAGAGAGAGATGCGAGCAAGAGAGAGCCAAGAGAGAGTCCTGCCAGAGAGAGAGACCAGAGAGAGAGGCCAGAGAGAGAGTGGACCAGAGAGGGCCGAGAGAGACTGAGAGAGAGAGGCCAGAGAGAGTAGACCAGACTGAGGGCCAGAGAGAGAGGAGTGAAGAGAGAGAGGCCAGAGAGAGAGAGCCAGAGAGAGAGGCAGAGAGAGAGGCCAGAGAGAGAGGCCAGAGAGAGAGGCCAGAGAGAGAGGCCAGAGAGAGAGGCCAGAGAGAGAGACCAGAGAGAGAGACCAGAGAGAGAGACCAGAGAGATGGAGACCAGAGAGAGAGACCAGAGAGAGACCAGAGAGAGAGACCAGAGAGAGAGCCAGAGAGAGACCAGAGAGAGAGACCAGAGAGAGAGACCAGAGAGAGAGACCAGAGAGAGAGTGCCAGAGAGAGAGGCCAGAGAGAGAGACCAAGAGAGAGAGGCCAGAGAGAGAGGCCAGAGAGAGAGACCAGAGAGAGAGACCAGAGAGAGAGGCCAGAGAGAGAGGCCAGAGAGAGAGGCCAGAGAGAGAGCCAGAGAGAGAGGCCAGAGAGAGAGACCAGAGAGAGAGACCAGAGAGAGAGCCAGAGAGAGAGGCCAGAGAGAGAGACCAGAGAGAGAGACCAGAGAGAGAGACCAGAGAGAGAGACCAGAGAGAGAGACAGAGAGAGACAAGAGAGAGACAGAGAGAGAGACAGAGAGAGAGACCAGAGAGAGACCAGAGAGAGAGACCAGAGAGAGAGACCAGAGAGAGAGAGACAGAGAGAGAGACCAGAGAGAGAGACCAGAGAGAGAGACAAGAGAGAGAGACAAGAGAGAGAGACCAGAGAGAGAGAGACCAGAGAGAGAGACCAGAGAGAGAGACCAGAGAGAGAGACCAGAGAGAGAGACCAGAGAGAGAGACCAGAGAGAGAGACCAGAGAGAGAGACCAGAGAGAGAGACCAGAGAGAGAGACCAGAGAGAGAGACCAGAGAGAGAGACCAGAGAGAGAGACCAGAGAGAGAGACAAGAGAGAGAGACAAGAGAGAGAGACCAAGAGAGAGACCAGAGAGAGAGACCAGAGAGAGAGACCAGAGAGAGAGACCAGAGAGAGAGACCAGAGAGAGAGGCCAGAGAGAGAGGCCAGAGAGAGAGACCAGAGAGAGAGACCAGAGAGAGAGACCAGAGAGAGAGACCAGAGAGAGAGACCAGAGAGAGAGACCAGAGAGAGAGACCAGAGAGAGAGACCAGAGAGAGAGACCAGAGAGAGAGACCAGAGAGAGAGGCAAGAGAGAGGCCAGAGAGAGAGACCAGAGAGAGAGGCCAGAGAGAGAGACCAGAGAGAGAGACCAGAGAGAGAGGCCAGAGAGAGAGACCAGAGAGAGAGACCAGAGAGAGAGGCCAGAGAGAGAGGCCAGAGAGAGAGGCCAGAGAGAGAGACCAGAGAGAGAGACCAGAGAGAGAGACCAGAGAGAGAGACCAGAGAGAGACAGAGAGACCAGAGAGAGAGACCAGAGAGAGAGACCAGAGAGAGAGAGACAAGAGAGAGAGACAGAGAGAGAGACCAGAGAGAGAGACCAGAGAGAGAGACCAGAGAGAGAGAGAGAGAGACCAGAGAGAGAGGCCAGAGAGAGAGACCAGAGAGACCAGAGAGAGAGGCCAGAGAGACCAGAGAGACCAGAGAGACCAGAGAGAGAGAGACAAGAGAGAGAGACAAGAGAGAGAGACAAGAGAGAGAGACCAGAGAGAGAGAGACCAGAGAGAGAGACCAGAGAGAGAGGCCAGAGAGACAAGAGAGACAAGAGAGAGAGACAAGAGAGAGAGACAAGAGTGACAGACAAGAGAGAGGCCAGAGAGAGAGGCCAGAGAGAGAGGCCAGAGAGAGAGACAAGAGAGAGAGACACCAGAGAGAGAGACCAGAGAGAGAGACCAGAGAGAGAGACCAGAGAGAGAGGCCAGAGAGAGAGGCCAGAGAGAGAGGCCAGAGAGAGAGGCCAGAGAGAGAGACCAGAGAGAGACCAGAGAAAAGACCAGAGAGAGACCATAGGAGAAGACCAGAGAGAGACCAGAGAAAAAGACCAGAGAGAGAGCCATAGGAAAAGACCAGAGAGAGACCAGAGAGAGACCAGAGAGAGACCAGAGAGAGAGACCAGAGAGAGAGACCAGAGAGAGAGGCCAGAGAGAGAGGCCAGAGAGAGAGGCCAGAGAGAGAGGCCAGAGAGAGAGACCAGAGAGAGGCCAGAGAGAGAGGCCAGAGAGAGAGGCCAGAGAGAGAGACCAGAGAGAGAGACCAGAGAGAGAGACCAGAGAGAGAGACCAGAGAGAGAGACCAGAGAGAGACAAGAGAGAGACAAGAGAGAGAGACAAGAGAGAGAGACAGAGAGAGAGACAGAGAGAGAGAGGCCAGAGAGAGACCAGAGAGAGAGACCAGAGAGAGAGACCAGAGAGAGAGACAAGAGAGAGAGACAAGAGAGAGAGACAAGAGAGAGAGACCAAGAGAGAGAGACCAGAGAGAGAGACCAGAGAGAGAGACCAGAGAGAGAGACCAGAGAGAGAGACCAGAGAGAGAGACCAGAGAGAGAGACCAGAGAGAGAGGCCAGAGAGAGAGACAAGAGAGAGAGACAAGAGAGAGAGACCAGAGAGAGAGACCAGAGAGAGAGACCAGAGAGAGAGACCAGAGAGAGAGACCAGAGAGAGAGACCAGAGAGAGAGACCAGAGAGAGAGACCAGAGAGAGAGACCAGAGAGAGAGACCAAGAGAGAGGCCAGAGAGAGAGGCCAGAGAGAGAGGCCAGAGAGAGAGACCAGAGAGAGAGACCAGAGAGAGAGACCAGAGAGAGAGAGACCAGAGAGAGAGGCCAGAGAGAGAGGCCAGAGAGAGAGGCCAGAGAGAGAGACCAGAGAGAGAGACCAGAGAGAGAGACCAGAGAGAGAGACCAGAGAGAGAGACCAGAGAGAGAGACCAGAGAGAGAGACCAGAGAGAGAGAGACCAAGAGAGAGAGGCAAGAGAGAGAGACAGAGAGAGAGACCAAGAGAGAGGCCAGAGAGAGAGACCAGAGAGAGAGACCAGAGAGACAGACCAGAGAGAGAGGCCAGAGAGAGAGAGAGACCAGAGAGAGAGAGACCAGAGAGAGACCAGAGAGAGAGACCAGAGAGAGAGACAAGAGAGAGAGACAAGAGAGAGAGACCAGAGAGAGAGACCAGAGAGAGAGGCCAGAGAGAGAGAGGCCAGAGAGAGAGGCCAGAGAGAGAGACCAGAGAGAGAGACCAGAGAGAGAGACCAGAGAGAGAGACCAGAGAGAGGACCAGAGAGAGAGACCAGAGAGAGAGAGAGACCAGAGAGAGAGACCAGAGAGAGAGGCCAGAGAGAGAGAGGCCAGAGAGAGAGACCAGAGAGAGAGACCAGAGAGAGACCAGAGAGAGAGACAAGAGAGAGAGAGGCCAGAGAGAGAGACCAGAGAGAGAGACCAGAGAGAGAGACCAGAGAGAGAGGCCAGAGAGAGAGGCCAGAGAGAGAGGCCAGAGAGAGAGGCCAGAGAGAGAGACCAGAGAGAGAGACCAGAGAGAGAGGCCAGAGAGAGAGGCCAGAGAGAGAGGCCAGAGAGAGAGGCCAGAGAGAGAGGCCAGAGAGAGAGACCAGAGAGAGAGGCCAGAGAGAGAGGCCAGAGAGAGAGGCCAGAGAGAGAGGCCAGAGAGAGAGGCCAGAGAGAGAGGCCAGAGAGAGAGGCCAGAGAGAGAGGCCAGAGAGAGAGGCCAGAGAGAGAGACCAGAGAGAGAGACCAGAGAGAGAGACCAGAGAGAGAGGCCAGAGAGAGAGGCCAGAGAGAGAGGCCAGAGAGGCAACAGTGGCTCAGTTGGTAGAGCATTGGCCTTTGAGCCTGAAGGTCGTGGGTTCGAGCCCCCCACAAGACTTTCTCCACCAACTCCCACTGATGTCTGCTGTAGATGTGTCCTTGTCTGGGAACACCTGATGCCACAGTGGGGCGGCTGTGGCTGTAAAGTGCCAAACTGCCGTTGTGTCCTTAGGCAAGACACTTCACCCACATTGCCTAGAATGAGTCTGGTCTGTGTGTGAATGGTTGGTGGTGGACAGAGGGGCTGATGGTACAGACTGGTTGCCTCGCTTCAGTCACTGTGTCCCAGGGCAGCTGTGGCTACAGTGGTAGTTTATCACCAACGTGTTTGGAGTGAAGGAAAAATGACATGTGAAGCGTCTTTGAGTGTCCAAAAGAGCGCTTTATAAAACCAATGCATTAGATACCAGAGAGAGACCATAGAAAAAGACCAGAGAGAGACCAGAGAGAGACCAGAGAGAGACCAGAGAGAGACCAGAGAGAGACCATAGGAAAAGACCAGAGAGAGTGTTGAATTACTGCTCATCCAGGAAAATGTCATATATCTGGAGAAAAATTTAAAAAACATTGAAAACACATTGGAGATAAGAAAAGGAGACCACGAGACAAAGTCAAAAAGGTTTGGCAAAATATGCATTCGCTTCAGCCAACACTTTTTCTGCCTTTCTTTCTGCTGTAAAGTTATTGCTCTGTAACGCTGTATAAATGTGCAAGTGACCAAAAAATAAAAAGAGTGCTAAAGCGAGTCTGCCACTGAAAGAAATCTAGTAAATAGACATATTATTTAGTACACATAGAGTACAGCCAAAAAAGCATCAACAGGTGTCAGACCTGATCAGAAAAGTGCATCTTTAACTATAGCAGTCGAACCCATGTGTAAATTATTATTGTATAAATGACATGTATTCACAACTTTGATAGATTTTTTTACCAACTAATCTGTAAAATAATAAGATGAGACTAAGCCAAAGTTCTTGTCAAAGCACAAGCTCCAGGTGTCTCCAAATTTTACATTAATCTTTCATTTTCAAGACACGTAGTGAAAAAATCAAATCACTATGAATGATTTGTTCCGGACTGAAGGTTAAAATACAAAACTGGAATAAAAGTTGAAACAGCCCCCGTACAATCGCACAAGGACAGAGGAGGGTGAGGACGGCCCGGCTCTCCCTGCTTTCTCCGATGGTGTTGCCATGGTGACAGACGTGTCTCTGTGTGTGTGTGTCTGTGTGTGTGTGTCTGTGTGTGTGTGTCTTTGTGTGTGTGTGTGTGTCTGTGTGTGTGTGTCTGTGTATGTCTGTGTGTGCGTCTGTGTGTGTGTCTCTGTGTGTGTGTGTGCGCTTTACCCTGCTCCACGAGGGTCTGTGCCGTCCGTGTCGCTTCCTGGAGTTTCCGGTACTTTTCAGGTCGCTCCCTCTCAATAGCCTGCAAACAGAAGAAAGTACTTTTGTTTAGATAAAAAAGGACACAAATGACATTCTGAGCATTAATAATAATAATAATAATAGTAATAGTAATAATAACAATGATAATAATACATTGGACTGTTAGGGGATGATAAATTCTGAAATGTAGCGTGGTGTCAGACCTAAACAACTTTAAAAGTGATCAGTAAAGAATGTGCAGTAAAGAACCTCATGTGTCCTCCGTCACTTTACTTGTATTTCTTGCGCTAGAATATACAGTAAATTATACTTTCTTTATTGTGCTAGATATTTAGATTTTATACTTGCGTTTTATAATGCCAAATAAAGAGAGTTTATATTTCCTTCTTTTAGGATGCTGAAGTAGGAGAATGTATACTTCCTTCTTTTATGATGCTAAAGTTAGAGATTTGACCCTTCTGGCCACCCTGGAAAGCAGTTCACTCGTCCTCTGCAGAAGATATCGTGCTGAGTGCAGCTCTTGCTAACAGTCTTCCCAGGCTGTTAGGTCCTAACAGAGCACTTAATCCTGCTTTACCCTTTCGTTTTTTGATCGGGCACGTGTCGCTGTTTTTTATCTTTATTTCAGGTATGTATTTTATACAGTATCTGCCTTAGTCTGTCGGTGCAACGAGTACCTTTTGCAAGATTCCATGAGTTTTATACTGCACATGCTAATAAAGATCTGATCTGGATTTATTTATTAGATTTTGTCGTAAGTGCTCTTTCCTACTTTGTAAGGTGGTGAACACGTCTCGTCAGGGCTGCAACATACATTGATCGAGTATACAGCTTAAAGTTAATGATCGTAATATTAAGAATATGCATTTTCTTTAAATGGTCCGCAGATCAGCTCGCAGACTTCATACAGGAAACACGTGTATTCTTTTGGATTCCCAGAGACCCGCTCTGTCTCCACCTCACACACGTGTGTCCGTGGCATTCTGAGTGTTATTATGGAATGCATGGGCATGCGTCAATCACGTTAATTTTTTTAACGCGATTAATGAAAAAATGTATTACATTTTGACAGCCCTAATCTCATAACATAATCTTAATCTATAATCTCAAAATAAAATCTCTGAAACGCTCAGGGAGCCAGTGTAGGGATGCTAAAACAGGGGTGATGTGTTCCCTTCTGTTAAAGCCAGTGTCTGGCTGCTGTGTTTTATAAAGCTGTTACATTTTCCCACACTGTGTTTTTCCAAGTTTGGTCTCATTGAGGGTTTGACATTTCCCATTTTTGGAGAAAACAATGAAGTGTGAAAAGGTCTCATATGTGGCAGCACATTATACACTCGGACAGAATTGAAATGACTTTATTTCATTACAAAGTACTATAATAAGTCCGGTCCCATGGTGAGACCTTTTACCATTTTGGAACCTTGGCAAAAGTACTGTCTTTGGCTCTGTAGACTATTTTAATCTGTGCATGAAATGAACCAAAATTTGGCATTTCTAATTTAATTCACTTTCATTGATTCATCCAAGTAGCACTGTTTAGCCAATGTGAAAAGTAAAGTACATACAATAAGGTGTGTGGTCAGAGTGTTTGACCTCTGTCATGTGTGTGTGATGGGTGTGTGTGTGTATTATCTATGTTGTGTTGTGTTGTGTGAAATGCGTTGGTACCATAGACCTATATTAGGAGTTGACTGATGGATTAGCCCTAATGTGGAAGAGGTCGATCCGGGCTACTTCAAACAGGCTTTTTGAGCGGGAAAAGGGACCTATGCATATATTTTGCAAAATATATGCAAAAGTTATTGGTACAGTAGCAACAGCTAGTAGAGTCAATCAGGAGCAGCGCTGATCTGAATTCACTTGTGTAACTTACTAGCTAAAGAAAACATTTGGTAACAGAAGTCTCCAGAAAAATGCTTTTAAAGCCCAAAATGGTGGGCTTTAGGTTACTGAGCAAAAGGAGTTTACTCTAAAGTCAATAAAAGCCAGAATACAAGCGTTCACTTTTGGGCTTCATTGAGCTAATTAGGTCTTATAGCATTTAGCACTTTTACAATCTATGGCTGGAACCAAATAATCATCTGCTTTGGCTCATAAATTTGTATCCTGTTTTGTGTCTGTACATACGATTTAAAAGATACATTTCGTTACACGCAGAGTACAATGTCCAATTACCTCTAGTTATAAAGTTTATTCTATGTGATCTAAAGAAAGTCGAAGACATCTGAAATCTGTCTGCACTTGGCTTTTTGTCCTTTTCCAGCCCGTTCCCATTAATCATGTTTCCGCTGCTCCTTCCCGACACTGACAAAACTATTGTTGTTTTCACCAAAGGGAAGTTCCAACTAAAGTGACACATCTTTGAGGAGTTTCTTACCCAGTATTACAACTCAGCCCTTTTACGCCTGTATCACAAATATATGATGAATTACCAGGCCGTTCCTATTGTGCGCACTGAAGCAACTTTCTCTTTATCTAAGATGTCAAATTAACCATGTGCAGTTTTCCGTGGCCATAGTATATTTTGTACACTGATTACTTTGCAGAGTTTTCATGATTACGTTTGGTTGTAAAAAGGGGAAATGGTCGGACTTTGATGTATTTTTGACAAGCAACGTTTCAGCAACAGAACAAAATATGTCTTCAGTGTATTGTAGGCAAAGATACACAAAAACTATTGATGTTTACAATGTATTTTCTAATCCTGCCCGGGCGCTTTCTGGGCCACTAGAGAGTCTGCTTGTAATGATTATAGATTATATGAGAGCATCCCATCATTGCTCTTATTTGAGTCTCCAAAGTGACAGTTACAGCTCGTGGACTCCAAGTAAACACATTTTAAGACGGCAGCTTATTACCGTGATTAAATAAAGTGTTATGCTCTTCTTGTAAAGCCTGGTAAATTTGGAGTGACAGCCATAAGTTACAGATGGCTGACTGGGGCTGGATTGCAGTTTGCAGCACAGTGGATACCTGGATCTTGATAACTTGGCTCTTGGTAACTTAGCCGATGCGACCGACAACTTTTTACATACATTTGGATCCTCATTCCCGCTCACAAAGCCTGCTTAAACTAGCTTGAATCGGCCTCTTCCACATTAAGGCTAACCCGTCAGTCCACTCCTAATATAGAGGTCTATAGTTCAACCCCTCTCATTCACACAACACAACATAACGCACACACACATGCACTTACTCACACGGGACACAGACCAAAACACTCTCTGACCCCTGCAGCTTTTTGTATTTACTTTATTTACGTCACCTTTCCACAGATCAAAGCCATTACTTGGCTTAAAAGTGCAACTTGGGTGTCTAAATGAAAGTTAATTAGATTAGATGTAGATGCCAAATTGTGGGTCATTTTGTGCACAGAAATAACATCTACAAAACTAATAAAAAAGTAGGTACTGTAGATCTACCTTGCTACGATACAAGTAACGGATAATGTATAGTATGCAGGTCCTTATCGGGAATTAAGTACCGACAGGGCGAAGTGTGCGTCCGCCCTGAAGGTACTTCTTTTTCGATGATGACCTGCCTACTATACATTTTCCTGCTTATTATACGGCTTTGTACCAATAGGACACATGAAATAAACTTCAGTCCACTTGTATGAATTCTGAAAGGTTTATTTAATGACTGCAAATAAAACAGTTCCCAAAGGTTTTCCCGTTGCTATGCTAGTAACAGTTAGGCTAGCAACTTCCAAACTAGAACTCTCTCGAACTGCATGAAAACTGAACAAAGAATCCTGAACATCAGCGGGGAGTGACCCAAATATAAACTCAACCTAAATCCATAATTCCATCCTCTGCAAATGTTCCTAAACTGTTCCGGAATCTACTTCCGGGTTTATCGCAATCGCTTTTTCTCGCATTAAAACAATATTTTTGTAATGAAACCGTTCACAGATAATTCTGAAAACCTCTGTGCACGTGTGTTAAGAATGTAAATGTATAATGTATTCTCCCATTAACATTTAAATGTGTTGATTGATTGGTATTTGTGTTTATTGAGCGTGGCTAGCTCCGATAGCGCCGAAATGACCGGAACTACTTGCGGAGTAATCTACACATCTGAATTACAAGCAGAGAGTGCGTTGCCAAAGGGCAGCGGTCATTATTGTTTTGAGAGGTCCGTTATCAAGAAATAATGAGCGGTAGAACGTTTTGAAATTACATTCACATCCATGGAGCGTTCTCCTGCTGCTGTGAGGAGCCGAGTAATAACTATACATATTTATTATTTCCCTAAGGTTCCGAAATGGCAAAAGGTGACCAGACTTGTATTAGTACTGATTACTATGATTAAATAAAATGTTGTTCTCTTCTTGTAAAGCCAGGTAAAAACAATGGTTACCTGGACTTTGTCGTACAGCTCCTGGATGCTCCCGTCTTTGCGAGACACAGAAAACTCAGGGCTCTGCAGGATGGCCTCTCCTCTGGTCATGTAGCTGTGCACCTCAGTGAAATCAACGTCAAATCTGGAGACAAGCGCATCATGAAACCTTCTCAAGAGAATGAGATTAGCACTGTCTTGTACTGAAGCTTTCAGCATCGGTAGCAGACAGTGCTTTACAGCTATCAGAGTAACAGAATCAGTCTTTATAATGTTCTGATTAAATATGGGAATAACATTGCAACGGAGACAGAGGGCAAAAAGTAAAGCTAATTGCCTCCAAGGTGCAAAAACAGAAACTTTCATTTCCGGTAATAGCTGACATATGACTGTATCGTTAACACAATGGCATCAGAAGTGACATTTGGCTTTAACATAATGGCGTTCATCCAAAAATAGCAGAGGACATAGACTAGTTTGAGTGATTTGCCCTTGTTAAAATGACATACTACATATAGGACCCTTGCAATATTACAGAAGAGAGACAGCTGGGACAGAATCATCTAGTCTCATAACTGCACTAATGGACATTAAGGGTCTACACATAATTCTACTCCTACACAGATGGTAAAACACCCGAAAACTATGGCATTTTTTGCGAAGGAAGATCTAAATGAGGTTGCATATAATACTGCTGATTGGATATGGCTATTTTTAGACTAGAGAAATTACACTTTTTACATCTCTAGATCTGAAGACCGTGGTAGTGTGACGTGCGTGTGGGGTGCGTCATCAAGACATAACTACTGTCCTCAGAATAAGGATGAAAAGAAGATTTTTTATATGCCTTCTAGCTTATATTTGTAATCTGGACTCTTAACAAATCAAACAGTTACGGTCGTCTGTGTTGGGGAGAATACTCTCAAAACGTTGTTCATCACAGAATACTGAACGCCTTCTTTTAAATGCACTTTATAACCGATTCTGAATACCTGGAATAATCCTACTCTCATTACTATGACTTTAAAATGCCTCTTTCTTAAAATTCTGTTATGCATTGCTATTGGAAATTAAAATAAGAATGAAACACAATCGCAAACAACCTTTTCATGACTAAATTCCAAGATGAAATACCTTAAATTGTATTCCATGACTCACCAACACTGAAAACAGCAATATTCTCAAGTATACTCTATTTAAATATATATTTACTAATTCAACAAGACTAGTTTATGTTTCCTAAAAGTCAAAGTTTTTCAAAGTTTGTTGAATGCATGACACAAAATTCCATATCTATTCTCAGATTGGAAAATACGATTCTAGTAGTCTATAACTAAATCACTAAGGATTATATAGAGCTCGGGACTATAGGGTATTACACCATAAACACTTTTGGGATCTCTTCCTCGGTCTTAAAGCTGGAGTACCTGACTTTTCTTTTTCATTTATAATACATTTTGTTTGGTCCCAACAGAAAGAGCAAGATATTGTGATACAAAACTTTTACACTTTTCTCTATGAGTTGATTTAAAGATGTGAATGAGGCATAAAACAAGGTATGGAACTAAACTGTTATGAAATCTAAGAACAAGTTGTATTTATGTATTTTTTACACTTGTTTAACCAAGAAAATCCCATTGAGATTAAGAGTCCTGGATTAGTTGACTTCTAGCCATCCATCCATCCATCTTCTTCCCCTTAATCCATTTCTGGGTCAGGGGGGTGGCAGTCAGAGCTACACCCAGTTCACAGAGCACCAGCCCCTCACTGATCCTCCTGCAGGTGGTGAGTCCACAGGAGCTGAGATCTTTCAGCGGGGGCTTCAGGCAAAGTGGGGTTTAGTGTCTTGCCCAAGGACACAACGACAGCAGACATCAGTGGGAGTCGTGAAGTAGGTCTATGGTGGGCTCGAACCCACGACCTTCCAGGCTCTACCAACTGAGCTACTGTCGTCCATATAGTTGACTTCTACAGTATAACAAAGTAAAATTGTGTGTGGTTTCAAAGTGAAGTACCCCAGCTTAAATATGCAACAAAAACACAGCAGATTAAATCCATTTCTAAGGCAACAATTGACAATTCTGTGTTCCTTCCCGAGCTCTATTATGCAACTCACCTGGAGAGATAGGTCAGCAGAAATGGATGCATGAAACTACATGTATTGTGCAAATTAGAGAAATAACAGTGTTTGGCCACCAGTCATGATAGAGCCACCATGATTCCACACATATTTGGATTATATTTCCACTCGTACCTTTTCCTGAGTTCAGAATCCACCACCACTTGTCTCTTCTTCTGCGGCGGCGGCGATTCGCGGGTTTGCCTCAGGGCTGCCACCTTGTCCCTGGAGACTTTGGTCACCGTCGTGGTGGTGACTGAGTGAACTACTTCAGTCTGCTGGGAGGCGACGGTGGACGACGAGAGCTATACATCAAACGACACCAAAAGAAAAAGTTAGAAACACGGGACCGTCTCAAAGCGGCAATAACCCGGCGTGTACATTTATCACGCTGCGCAGTGGGGGCGATGATAGGTGATGAGTGAAGGCTGGTTCAATGGTATATTGCAAAAAAACAAGCAGGCAACAACATCTGTGCAGGGGCCAAGTGGTGATTTGGGATTGTGGGAAAACAAACAAGAAGTAAAGTAGTTTTACAGCGCCTTGGGTCGTGTGGAAAAACTACAAACCGTGTCAAAACACCACATCAAAAGTGCAAGGATACACGGACAGAACACAAAAGTATACTTGTCAAACAGAATGTGTATTTTGGAGGCTGTTGGATTGCATTAATTGGGTCCATCTGCAAGCTGTTGAAAATCTCCGTGTGTGTGTGTGTTTGTGTGTTTGTGTGTTTGTGTGTGTGTGTGTGTGTGTGTGCGCATGTGTGTGTTTGTGTTCAAACAGTGTGATTCAAACAGTAATGCTGATTTGACAGGGATTTAAAGAAGAAATAGTATGTATTATGTTTTGCCTTTTTATTCTGCCATTTCATAGGAAATAATATACTATAAAAGTAGGAAAAAACAGTAGAAAATACGGTAAAACGTCTATCAAGGGCAAATTATGCCCTCGACCCGCCCTCTGCTGCCACTAGAGGGAGGAGTTAACATGTTTTTGTTACTTTCAAAAATTCCTGGCTGCAACTACTGTAAAGAATGATATTCCACCCGAGAATTACCAAAACAAATGGAAACACATTATCTCTCAGTAATTAACACTTAATTAAGAAATCATTTGTGCATTAATGAATGATTATTTAATAATATTAATGAATGTTAATTAGCTCTTAATTGATATTTATTAAGCACTATTCTACATGACCTGATTCACAATCTAACTAACTACTGACCCTTTCCCATGTGGGTAAGGGTTACGTTTGGGGTTAGGGTACACTAATTATCCCTTAATTAGCTATTAAATAGTGAGGGTCAATCTAAAGTGTTACCAAACAAATGTATGGGAAAGAAAACTGCTCTAAGTGTGATATCATTGTCACTACTATGACATGAGACAGAGGGGGCGGAGCTTCATGTTTGTCCCAGAAGCTCCTGATAAAAGTGCGGATACATATAAAGCAAGTTTATTTTTATTTTTTGACTTTGCAAAACACGTCTCCTTTAAAATGACTGTAAATATACTGTATATAATGAGGCTTTTTGTTATTGGGTTATTTTGGAACACACAGTGGCCTAATCAATGGTGGTGGAGGTGGCGTTTAGCCCGGGTCAGGGACAATTGACGCCTCAGATTGACTACACAATTAACAGCTCGGTACAATCACAGGCTCATTTGTTTGCACCGGAATCGGCCATTTTTAGCCCAAACTTAAAACGAGCTTCAAACAAACTAAACAAAAAACGGCTGAGACCCAAGAGAGAGAGACCAGAGAGCGAGACCAGAGAGCGAGACCAGAGAGCGAGACCAGAGAGCGAGACCAGAGAGCGAGACCAGAGAGCGAGACCAGAGAGCGAGACCAGAGAGCGAGACCAGAGAGCGAGACCAGAGAGCGAGACCAGAGAGCGAGCGAGACCAGAGAGCGAGAGACCAGAGAGAGCGAGACCAGAGAGCGAGACCAGCGAGAGAGCGAGACCAGAGAGCGAGAGCCAGAGAGCGAGACCAGAGAGCGAGACCAGAGAGCGAGACAGAGAGCGAGACCAGAGAGCGAGACCAGAGAGCGAGACCAGAGAGCGAGACCAGAGAGCGAGACCAGAGAGCGAGACCAGAGAGCGAGACCAGAGAGCGAGACCAGAGAGAGAGAGACCAGAAATTCAAAAAGGTGTAACATGCTTCTCCTTCTGCATATTGTCAAATTGAAGGAGATCCCTGGGTCATTAATGTATATTTAGTACAATTGTAATCTCAATATTGATTAAAAAGTTTATGATGATAACGATGATTGCAGAAACTAACATATCGTTACAATTATAATCAACGTCATTAATTTGCATTTTTTAATACTATAAACTGTTTTAATATTACTACTAAATTACTACTATACTTTTTACACTGGGCCTGTAACTTTCTTAATAATACCCCACATTTTCATCATCGCCATTCACTTCCTTTAGCCGACAAAACGTAACTGTTTTCTCATCATCTGCACTAAAAAGTAGAATTGTTTTTATAGCTTGTTTTCCAGCCATGTTGAATAAAAGTTTACGAGTATTTACAACTTGCTTCTAATGAAAGTGCCACTTCATCCAGGCCTATTCTCCCCCTGTGTGCAATCCCCATGATCTTTACTGCTCTGCTGCATCGCACTCGTCCTAATAACCAACAACAGCGGTCTGAATTTGCACTCCAAGTATTCCGTGCATTTGTTTCCTTCTCTTTACTGGTCCGATAATGTGTTTTGAAATCTCATAAATCACTCCCACAGTTTACGCCTCCTCTGGGATACTGTAAGTGCGGCCCAAGTAGCATTCACTGCTAAGCTATTATCGTAGGAGTCTCCAGGGCCCCGCGGTCTAATAGAAACATAATATGCACCATATCCAGCGAGTACCAGATCAAAGAAGTTGTTTTCACTTTAACTGTTGTGCTAACGATAAATATTTGGGACCAAAGCAGGCAGTGATGGGAGCACACTGAGGGGGTGTAGTGGGACAGTCCAGTGCATTGGGAGTTACAGCCGCTGCAGGCGCTTCCAGCCGTCTGCAATCAGGGCAAAAAGTACGACTGAATATGTTTTACAATAGTTTAAAATCCATTATTCGGCGTATTATTAGGATTTGCCATTCTCACAAATGTACATGTCAATGTTGGACTTAAATTAGAGAATGGGTGGATTGATCATGTTGTTGTTGTTGCAATAAGGTTTGGGAATTTGAGAGTTATAGTAGTTTTACAATGTATTTTTAACAGCTGCATATTTTCAACAAACAAAGCTCAAAAAGAGAATCACGATACGATACGATACACGATACAAAGCTCACAATAACGATTTTATCACGATATGACGATTATTGATATATTGGTCAGAAATATACAATATGCCAATTTATGGCATAAATAAAAGTAAAAATACACTTTATTTCATGATAAATGGAATGGAGATGCGTAATGTAGCCATATATTAAGTATTGATACCAATTTAATAAAACAAAAAATTCAAAATTGATATCGATACTTGGCAAATGCATATCGATAATCGATACTAATCAGTGCTACATTTAAGCAAGTGCAAAAAGATTTTCACATGACAGCCCTGAGTTTTACCATCATCATGTTGTTGATCCATAAAAACCGCAATAGTTAAGTCAATCGGTATTTTCAATTAAGCGTAATTATTTTACTTTTAAAATAATTCAGCCAAATATCATTAAAGTCATCATTAAAGGGCCCTAATCTGTCCAAAGGCAGTAATAAAACATGCTCTTTTCCAATAACTGATAACTGTAGTTCAGCCGAGATATTCGAACATAATTTGTTTCACAGCCCCTAAATTGTTTTCATTTTGATTTCCCGGCCTCCACCGTTTTACCAATCAGAAAGTCCATGATACGGGTTGCCAGAATTCACAGCGTCCAGCTAATCTCACTGGGAAAGTACCATGTGGCGGCAGAACAAAAAAAAGGCCTTGTTATGATTCTCAAAACATTGATAACAAATCAAAGAAATAAAACCAGGCTTTCTATCGAGGCATTTGTGAAAAAAGTGTTGGTTATAGATTTGTTGTTGACAAAACTCTTCAGATATAATGTTCCCAGCTGGATTTGTCTGCATATCTGGCAACCTGAGTCAGGGAGAGTGGGAGAGGCTGCAGTACCACTTTTGGGCATATTTTGACATACTGCTCCTTTAATCTTTTTGTGTATCATTAATTAATTCATATTCAAAAGTGCTCTACCGCAGTCACTTTTGAAGAGCTTTTGTGAGATTCTCCGTCTGACCTGGGATTTGTTAGTGAGTAAAACCGGTGTAATATCTGCAGACAGTTTAATCCTCGCCATGTCGCACATCCTTAACAAGACCTGTGCTGAAAATTGCGTTTATAGCACCTCAAGATAGCAACTTTGCACCTGTTAACTTTCCTTTTGCTTATAGAACTTTGCTTGTGTGAATTTCCTTTTCCCTGCTGTGATCAGAGCCGTATAAATAGTGCAGTAATGAGTCATGAGGTGTTTTTGTGTTACTCACACTTGCTCACACCCTAATTCCCCTACACTCCAATAAAGGGCCTTTTATCACGCTCTATTAGCCTCCAATTGAGCGTACAGAAAACACACTCTACTTTGTTTGTGTAAGTAAAACATCTAAATGCCAGGTCAGCTAATGCTAAAGCTGTACCTTCTAGGCCTCAGCGCTCCCGAATAAGTGGGAATAGACATTGCACTGTAAAAAAAAATCCATTGACATTGACTTAAAGAGGAGCTGCTATGCTCTATTTTTGGCTATGAAAAATGAAAATGGGACTATTCTCTTTTATGTTTTTGAATGTGAAATCATATCTTCGTTAGAAAACATATATGAACACAACAAGTATGAAGGGTAAAAAGCTTCCTGCCTGAAACTCCTTATGCTACCACCAGAGGGAGGTAGATCGTAAAAAAATAAAGGTCAAATCACCTGAGAAGCTGACAGTGATAAAAGAGCAGCTAAAACTTTGCAAAATGTATCTAACTTTGAGCACTTTGTGACTGACTTAAAACAATATTTGCCAATGTTGTTGCTAAATGTCTAAATTCATTCATCTATTCAAATTATGTTCATGGGGAATTATTTAGTTTTTACTCTCTCTCTTTTCTCTTGCTGGTTCCTCTCTCTGGTCTTTCTCTCTGGTCTCTCTCTCTTGTCTCTTGCTGGTTCCTCTCTCTGGTCTTTCTCTCTGGTCTCTCTCTCTTGTCTCTTGCTGGTTCCTCTCTCTGGTTCCCCTCTCTGGTCTCTCTCTGGTCTTCTCTCTCTGCTCTCTCTCTGGTCTCTCTCTGGTCTTCTCTCTCTGTGGTCTCTCTGTGGTCTCTCTGACTAGTCTCTCTCTCTGGTCTTTCTAATTTTGACGGGGGAACAATGTATAATCTAAAAAAGTCTAATCACATATCACGTGACGTCCATTAGTGATACTTTTTGTTACAATTATAAAGAAGGCATACACTTTGTATAGAAGAGAGAGAGACCGAAGAGAGAGAGACCAGGGAGAGACCAGGGAGAGACCAGGGAGAGACCAGAGAGAGACCAGAGAGAGACCAGAGAGAGACCAGAGAGAGACCAGAGAGAGACCAGAGAGAGACCAGAGAGAGACCAGAAAGAGACCAGAGAGAGACCAGAGAGAGACCAGAGAGAGACCAGAGAGAGACCAGAGAGAGACCAGAGAGAGACCAGAGAGAGACCAGAGAGAGACCAGAGAGAGACCAGAGAGAGACCAGAGAGAGACCAGAGAGAGACCAGAGAGAGACCAGAGAGAGACCAGATTTTGGATTTTTATCGACCACGGTCACCCAAAGCGCTTTACAATATTCCAAGTTCAGATGTTCAGAACTGGAGCACGTTATTATCATTAATTAAAGTTCCAAATGGATCAATGAGAAAACACTGGCAGTATTAGTATGAACGGGGCATAATGTTTGGGAGCAGTGCGATAATAGTCTCACTGAAAGGCGGCATCGATCGGAGCCTAAGATGCACTGGTTTAATCAGTGTTGCTCCACACTCCCAAGTCATCTATTCTGATCCCCGTCCAGGAAACTATTGTCGTCAACAGCCCCCACGACTGCCCACCTCAGCAGCAGCAGCAGCACCATCAGCCCACCCCAGCCATCGCCATCGCCTCATCAAGACCCACACCCCTCAGATATGGTCATGTTTGTGTGTGGCCAGGACTGGGTGGGGCACGGTGATCAGTGCTGTAGGTTTAGATTGATTAAAGTCTGAAATTTAAGTCTTAACACGACACATTATGATACAGTTATGAGTTATTAATTATTCAATGCTAAATATCTATATTCATTCATGTTTTCAAATTATGTTCATGGGTCTCTCTCTGGTCTTTCTCGCTGGTCTTTTGCTGGTCTCTCGCTGGTTCCTCTCTCTGGTCTTCTCTCTTTGGTCTCTCTCTGGTCTCTCTTCGGTCTCTATCTGGTCTCTCTCTGCTTTCTCTGTGGTCTCTCTGTGGTCTCTCTCTGTTCTCTCTCTGTTCTCTCTCTGTTCTCTCTCTGTTCTCTCTCTGGTCTCTCTCTGGTCTCTCTGTGGTCTCTCTGTGGTCTCTCTGTGGTCTCTCTGTGGTCTCTCTGTGGTCTCTCTGTGGTCTCTCTGTGGTCTCTCTCTGGTCTCTCTGTGGTCTCTCTGTGGTCTCTCTGTGGTCTCTCTGTGGTCTCTCTCTATGGTCTCTCTTTGGTCTCTATCTGGTCTCTCTGTGGTCTCTCTGTGGTCTCTCTATGGTCTCTATCTGGTCTCTATCTGGTCTCTCTCTGGTCTCTCTCTGGTCTCTCTCTAGTCTCTCTCTAGTCTCTCTAGTCTCTCTCTAGTCTCTCTCTGTCTCTCTCTAGTCTCTCTGTGGTCTCTCTGTGGTCTCTCTGTGGTCTCTCTGTGGTCTCTCTGTGGTCTCTCTCTGGTCTCTCTCTGGTCTCTCTCTGGTCTCTCTCTGGTCTCTCTCTGGTCTCTCTCTGGTCTCTCTCTAGTCTCTCTCTAGTCTCTCTCTAGTCTCTCTCTGGTCTCTCTCTAGTCTCTCTCTAGTCTCTCTCTAGTCTCTCTAGTCTCTCTCTAGTCTCTCTCTAGTCTCTCTGTGGTCTCTCTGTGGTCTCTCTGTGGTCTCTCTGTGGTCTCTCTGTGGTCTCTCTGTGGTCTCTCTGTGGTCTCTCTGTGGTCTCTCTGTGGTCTCTCTGTGGTCTCTCTGTGGTCTCTCTGTGGTCTCTCTGTGTGGTCTCTCTGTGGTCTCTCTCTGGTCTCTCTCTGTGGTCTCTCTCTGGTCTCTCTCTGGTCTCTCTCTGGTCTCTCTGTGGTCTCTCTCTGTGGTCTCTCTCTGGTCTCTCTCTGGTCTCTCTCTGTGGTCTCTCTCTGGTCTCTCTCTGGTCTCTGTGGTCTCTCTCTCTGCTCTCTCAGTGGTCTCTCTCTGCTCTCTCTCTCTTTCTCCAACTCCATTTCAAGCGGACAAATTGAAAAATAGAAATTATTTAGTGAAAAAATATTGAAATTTTATATATACCAAGACATGGCGACACTGTGGCAATTACAGTTGCTTGATTGTATTTTTTTTGAACATGCATAATGTGTGTATCTCTATAAACAAAGGAATGTAAATATGGTAAATGCTTCAAAAATCAATCAATCAGTCTTGAATCAATCTTGATGAACAAAATGGGAGCGACGCCGTGAGGTTGCCAGATATGAGAAAAGGTACTGGTTTAAGCTGGTTGTGTTTTCCTATTATTTACTGTATAAAGTAGTAATTTTAAGATGTTATGAAGATTTTGACTTCCTGATACTTACAATGACAATGAAAAAACCAGATTCTGATTCTGCAGTTGTAGACTCTCACTGAGGTGCATTTACACAAACACATCATATACAGTTTGCAGATGTAAATCGTGTATCTCCAGTGGACGTCACCTGTGCTATGCTGAGCTCCAGGCCCTGCAGCAGCCGGTCCCAGCGCTGGGCGAAGCTGTCCAGTCGAGCCTCCAGTTTGCAAGCCACGTCCTTGTTCTTGACGCTGGAGAGCAGGTCCTGACTCATGGAGCACAGCTTGTCCATGGTGGGCCGCTTCACCTCCAGCTCGCCCTTTATCGTCTGCATCACACAATAACAAACGCTATCTCATCTGCCTTATGTTTATCCCCTTTTCCACGCTCGCTTTCATATCCCGCAGTCTCAGGACCAGAGCAAGAAATGCAGCTTAAAACACAAAGTTAATTAGACCGTAGACGAGCATTTTTCTTGTTTGATTTGCTAAGATTTGCATTTTGATACTGTTGATTTGCATTACTAATCATTTATTTGCATTTTATTACTTTTGTTAGCTACTTTTACTTTATTATTATGTATTTGACCCAGTGGCTGTATGTCTAAAGTCCTCCAGGATCAATTGTTTTGTAGATTTTCTGGTGCAGGGGTCCTACAGGCGAGAAAACCTTGCAAAAAGTTGATCCTGGAGCTTCTTAGAGACGACTGGGATGGAAAGTAGTGTGCCATGCCGATAATGGCCCTAGATAAGGGTCTAGATTTTAGATACATGGTTCAATCAAAAATACAGTTTAAATCCATGCTCTTTTCCTTTTGTTATTTATTGAAATCATTTTTGTAATGCTGATTGAATGTTAGTGATGGACCCCAAAAAGACAAGTGGACACTAAGGTGGTATTTAATGTGGATGCATACCAATTATATCAATATGCAAAAATAGAAAGTTACATAATGGCTTAAAAGTCATTGTATACTTTGTATTTATATATTTGTAGATATCAAATTGGGTCTATTACAATGGTGTAGGTTTGGTTCCAATCTTGGTGGGGACATTCACTACGACCTGAGTCTACTCCCATTGACACGGGGTCCAGAGTTTCTCCCCCAGAATTTGTTGTGTAATCACACACTATATTTGCAATAGTGTGTTGCCTTCTATACTAAACTCAGCTGTAGACTGAATGAGAAGCAGTTATGTATGTTAACAGAAGATTAATCATCACAATTCATAATTTGCTATTACTCGTGCTTTCTCTTACTTACTTTCCAACTGTTAAAAAAGCTCCTGATATCTTTTATCTTATTTGTGGAGGTGGCATTTTTTCTAAATTATATAAGAAGGTATAGACAATCAAAAACAGACATTCATATACATGAACTGCAGAATCATTTATATAACTTGGCCAATGTCAAAAGTTACATAGTATTTCTCAATACAATGAGTTAACAAGAGTTTGGCAATAAGTAACAGTGTGGATTTTTCTATATTTTCTTTTTTTTATTCCACTCTCAACCCAAAAAGGCAAGTAATGACTCACAGGGTTCTCAAGTATGCAAAATAAAAACTTAAATGACCTGTTGTGGTGTGTTTTGCGCACAACCAGCATGCATCGTTAACGCAATGGAAAATTTAGGTATCCGAGCTTTAATTTCGGGAGCGCTGGTTGCGCTTTGGGAAGAGTCAGGGAAGAGACATGTCAGAGACACAGGGGAGAAACGCGGGAGATACGAGGGAGACCCGCACTTGCAACATGGTTCTGTCTGCATATGGTCCGAGCTCGGTACCATGTTAGAGCTGTGCTTTCACTGAGCGCCGCGGCTGTCATTACAAAGCGGCAGCAGCTGCACCAGGACGTGCACATTCGAGTGCATCGCTTGAATGTGCTTAGAGCAAATAACAGCAAGTGCCCGCTGTCACACATTTCACAGAAATTACATTATCAGCAGATAAAGGTTGTAAATCGTGGATCCGTGGAATATTTTCATCCCTAGTTTATCCTGATTCACACAACACACCCACTTATACATTTTGGATAGTAAGAGCACAATAAGTATTTTTTCAGCCTTTCAACCAACCTGTTTCTTTATTGGAGCCAGTTCTGTTCTGTCTCTGTGCCGTGTGAGCTCCTCGGAACATTAAACAGTGCGCTGACAGATTAGAAATAACGTAAGTACTTTGAATGGTAATAGATCTACAGTACTTTCCTCTGATTACTCACGTGCTACTACGCTCAGGGAACGAAAAAAAACACTTGCTTCACGCTGGCTAACTTTTAAAAATTAAACAGTCGCTCAGTGCTTCAGTTTGGCGCTGAAGAAGACAGCCAATCACTGCAAAGAACTGAACGGGTCACGTGCTGCTGCTGCTGCTGTTGCTCTGGAGGCGAGGAGGAGGCGCGACGTATGCACAAACGGAAGACATGTGTCCCGGACCGTCCGGGTCCCGGGACATCATGTCATTTTGGTGGGGACTTTTTAGTCCTCACCAAATATTGGTGGGGACATGTCCCCATGGTCCCCACGCAAACCTACGCCCTTGGTCTATTATAATGGGTTTTAGATATATAGTTGTAGCAAACTGAATTATTCTGGTCCTATAGAAGTAAACCATTATAAATCCATACTATTTGAGAAATGTTCTGTTTCACAATTCAGCACATTGATCAATAAATATATTTTCATGACTGTTTAAAACTGCAAAGAGCTGGTTTGAGATGTTTAGCTACAAATATACATCATTTAACCATGTAATAATTGTAAATGAACCAATGTTAGAAGAAAATTCTATGTCCTGACATTTGATGATAATGTTTGGTTCAGATTGAACTGAAAATACACAAACGCTCTATTAGCAGTTAGCCACAATGCTAACTCCTGTATAAAAACAATGATAATCCATGTTACCAATAGATACAGTATAATATCTAACATTTGTCTGGAAGTTGAACTCATTAAAAGTAAGATTGCTGCTTAGCCGTCACTCACAGTGAGCCTCCGTTGACACGCCACAATCTCTGTCTGCTCCTTCAGATTGGACGTCTTGATGGAACGAACCAACTCTTCTTTCTGCGTCAGCCACGAATCGAACAGGCACTGGAAGGAAGCATCGGTATCAAAGTCTGCATGATTTTACTGTTACACTGCAAAACATGATCAAATATGAGGTAATAATAGCTTGAATCAAGTGGTTTTTATCTTAATTTGAGTTCATTTTGACTGTGGTAAAACAAGATGGGGACAAAGCCATTTAGTCTAATTTTAAGAACTGTTGCTGTATTTTCTCATTCCAAAGGGAGACATTTCTTCTTTCTAAAACAAGATCATTTTACTTTGTCCTATCTACAAATCTCGTTTTAAGGCAGTCAAAATTATTACTAATACTAATACATTGAAACAAATTAAGATACATTTTTCCAAATTTGACAATTTTGTTTTTATTTGTCAGTACTTTTTGCAGTGTATCTGTGACAGGAGATTTTTACTATGCTATTTTTTTTTTTAACAACGTCTGTTCGTAAGGCCTCCAGTGTGGTTGCCTTGTTTGGGTCTTTTAATTAGGAATGATCAGCTAATCGTGTGTAATCCTATAATATGATTTTTAGCTCCCAAAGTCATTAATCACACCACAAAAGTCGATCTCCTGGCGATACATTTTCATTTCCTTTTGATGGGGATGCTAAATATACCGCGGCTAACACTGTCCAGGACGGAAGACCGGCCTTAAATTCTCCTGAAAATGGGGCGGGACATGGGTGGAATGTTAATATGAGGCTTTAACACACTTGCTCATTAGTGAAGTGTTGCCATTTAAGTAGAATCTCCTGCAGCAAAATCCAGCGCTCCTCGGTCCATCTGCAAATGGCAGCCCAGCGGTCGCCCAGCACCTGCAAAACACCAGCAAGAGCATTAGCATTAGCATTAGCAAAACACTGGCAATGCAGCTTTTGTACTGATATTATTATTATTGTTATCATGAAAACACTATTCCTGTCTTTTTCCACAATATTTGTCCTAATAAGAAATATTGTAATCTTAAACAGTGTGTGTCCGCGAGGCAGAAAAGGGGTCAGGGATGGATCACATTCACCTCTTTAATAAAGTATTATCAGGGGTTCAAAGGTCTGTCTTAACAAAGAACTGAAAAAGATGGATTTCTGTTCTGCATTTATTGTTTCTATTGTTCTAGAATTTTCATTTTATTTAGATTATGTTTGTTCACTTATTTTTGTTAGTTTGTTAAATATCATGTAGATCCATATTCAGTGTTGGGCAAGTTACTTCAAAAACAAAATACATGTATGTTTGACTTGTTGTTTCAAAGTAATGGGTTACACTATAACTTTTATCGCTGCACCATTGAGAGTTTACTTGTTGGTTCTGTGTCTGTGTGGTTTGGAAACATCACAGATAAAGAAAAGAGAGCTTTAAACAAGGTGCTCCGCTCTGCAAAGAGGACCGTGGGCTGTGAGCTTCCTGTTCTGGAGGTTCTTTATAAATCCAGACTTTTAAACAAAGCTCTTAGGATTGTTAATGACTCTTCTGACCACCCTGGGAAAGCCATGTTCCAGCTTCTTCCCTCTGGCAGAAGATATCGCTCTCTGAGATGCAGGACATCTCGTGACGCTAACAGTTTTTATCCACAGGCTGTTATCAGTGTGAACAGAGCCCTTTAATGATTTGCACTTGTTTTGAAACTGTTTTAGTCGATCGATTTCACAGTGACATTTGTTTACTGTTTTATTTGTTTTATTTCTGTCTTTTAATGTTGTTTTATGTCTGTATTTGTCTGTGCACACTGGAGACTTTTCCTAATGTATTCCAATGTGGGTTTTTTTACAGCAAATGGCAAATAAACTGAATCTGAATCTGAATATATGATGCATTACGAATGTTATGACCAAACATATGGAGCAGATTTCCTAATCCAGGTTTAGCCCATATGCTAGCAGGTCCACATATGGATTTATATTTAAGTAAAACAAGCAGAGATAATTGCTTTGTACGATTAATCTCTGCTTGGCACGAGCAAACGGACGCTCAATCAATCAATCCATGACTTGCTACATTACATTACAGTTTGAGTTCGCAACTCATCTATATTTCAGATGGTCATTAGATGAAGAGAAAAGTACTTACAGCCGAACAACATGCAGCATTTGCTAATCCGTCTATTTCACTCATACATTTATGGTCCTAATAATACTATAATAATAACAATAGTAATATAATCTTTATTCCAGACTCAAGGTCAATACAAAAGAAATACAAACAGAAAGATCAAAGAAACCAAGTCTAATAATGACTCATTGAAGAAGACACTTAGACCAGGATTCTCGAAACTGACACTTACAGCGTTTTACATTGTGGAGTTTGCAATTTTTGTGCTCACAAAGCCCCCTCTGGCCAGACGTGTAACTGCAGCCTAAATGAGAGGCGCGTGCACGAGGAACAGAACAGAAACAACAGCAGATATGGTCCTGTCCTCGATAATTTACAGATTTGCGGGGATGACTTCAACAGTGGTAAGAAATGCTACTGTTTTGTATGATATTTAGACCAAATCAATGTGTATATTTTCCAAGATGTGATACTTCAGCAAATGTAAAGCAAAGTAAATCATCAAAATTCACCAACACGACCAACAGCTGGATTCTCAGACTGTTCAACCGGAGAATAAACCTGAACATTGGCTTTCTCAGGACTGACTTCAGCTCACTCACTCGCTGCAGTCGATCTGGGCTTTTTTAACAGCATCCTCAGAGCGTCATTGAATGCTACCTGCACTTCAGCTAGATGTGCAGTGTATAAAGCAGATAAATCGGCTTTGAACAAGGTCAACAGTGCAGCAACCAAGTGTACGCCCCAAAGCATTAGCCCTTACATACAGCAGGAATAATTAGTGTTAAAGCCAAACCAATGATTCACTTTTTGATTAATTAAGTAAGTAACTATTCTTCATGAACCACTATATATAACATATGCATAGGGGTCAGCTTTTTAGATAGATAGATCGATAGATAGATAGATACTTTATTGATCCCGGTCGGAGAAATTCAGGGGTCCAGTAGCAGCAAAAATAAAAAATTAAATTGATAATTCTAAAAAGAGGTGGAGTAGCCTCTGGGTGGAGCAGGACGGGTCACAGCAGCAGAGGTGGAGTAGCCTCTGGGTGGAGCAGGACGGGTCACAGCAGCAGAGATGGAGTAGTCTCTGGGTGGAACAGGACGGGTCACAGCAGCAGAGGTGGAGTAGCCTCTGGGTGGAGCAGGACGCGTCACAGCAGCAGAGGTGGAGTAGCCTCTGGGTGGAGCAGGACGCGTCACAGCAGCAGAGGTGGAGTAGTCTCTGGGTGGAGCAGGACAGGTCACAGCAGCAGAGGTGGAGTAGCCTCTGGGTGGGGCAGGACGGGTCACAGCAGCAGAGGTGGAGTAGCCTCTGGGTGGAGCAGGACGCGTCACAGCAGCAGAGGTGGAGTAGCCTCTGGGTGGAGCAGGACGCGTCACAGCAGCAGAGGTGGAGTAGTCTCTGGGTGGAGCAGGACGGGTCACAGCAGCAGAGGTGGAGTAGCCTCTGGGTGGAACAGGACGGGTCACAGCAGCAGAGGTGGAGTAGCCTCTGGGTGGAGCAGGACGCGTCACAGCAGCAGAGGTGGAGTAGTCTCTGGGTGGAGCAGGACGGGTCACGGCAGCAGAGGTGGAGTAGCCTCTGGGTGGAGCAGGACGGGTCACAGCAGCAGAGGTGGAGTAGCCTCTGGGTGGAGCAGGACGCGTCACAGCAGCAGAGGTGGAGTAGTCTCTGGGTGGAGCAGGACGGGTCACGGCAGCAGAGGTGGAGTAGCCTCTGGGTGGAGCAGGACGGGTCACAGCAGCAGAGGTGGAGTAGTCTCTGGGTGGAGCAGGACGGGTCTTGGAGATCTATCCAAGTTACATTTATTGTTGACTTGTATGTGCTTCAGACATTAGAACGAAATGTGTCTTACAACATTTGGACACCAACATTTTCACTTATTGCAAATTAATAATCAAGAATTTATTTAGTTATTGGTCTCCATGACTACAAATCTTTGGTATCGTCCCCAAAAAAGCCATCTGTGGCAATCCACTCTTAGACTTCACTGCAAAAAATGATAAATATGAGGTAATAATTATTAAATCGACTGGTTTTTATCTTCATTTGAGTCCATTTTGAGCGTCTTAAAACAAGATTCGGCAACGGGACGAAGCCATTTAGTCTTATTTCCTGAACTGCTGCTTTATTTTCTCATTCCAATTGAGACATATTGTATCTTTCTAAAATGTGCTCAAATTAATATACATTTTACAACATTTTAGACTTATTTTTCATCACCTTTGGCAGTATTCACTCGTCTTTAAGCCGGTAATAAAACAGGCCTGTAAATACATAACCTGCGTTCAACGATGATAATTCTGAATGCACACTTTTAGACTTATTCTTTCACAACCATAAAGCTGGAAGTGGAGCGAGGAGCGAGTGCAGTAGATTTGAAAAGACAATGACAAGTGCGACTGGGCTGAGCGACAGGCGTGTAAGACCAGGGCTCAGCGGCTAATGTGGAAGCCAATGGGTCGTAATTAATCATATGACACAGCTCAACAGCAGGCACTAGCGGCGCATTTGCATTTTTACATAACAGAATTCCCTCCATCCACAAGGTTAAATTTAGTAACATGGTACAGAGACATATTTGCTGTTTTTGTAATGAATGCAAAAGTACAATGGCCTCGCGTGCAGGTAAAGCTCTGCAATCCTGTGGACGGGGTGTTTAAATCTTGTCGGGATAAAATGGACTGATGTGCAGATTTGAGATTGCCGCGGCCATACAATGCTATAGTTGTTGGTTTTTTTGTGGATCCCTGGTTATCAGAGTCGAGCCGACGCTATTTGTCCACGGGTCCGAAAACAAAATCATTTACATTTAAAATATAGGAAAAAATTGTCTTTCTAAGTAGTTTGAAAAAACGAGGGCAATACCAACACAAATCAATCAACTGTAAACTTCTCCAGTACATTTCTTAGTTTACTACAATCGAACCAATAAATTCTGAGAAATTCCCCCAAAAATGTTGAGTTTTCCACAATTTTCATTCCAAGTAAGTTTACTTTTTACCCTTATTCACTTTTACCAAGAGTAAAAGGTGATTATAACAGTTTTGTGAGAGGCTAAAGCTAGAGACCCAATGCTAACTGCTGAAAGTAAATGTTGAGTTGCTATGGTAACTAGCGCTGGCTTAGCGTATGGTCGTACCACACCATAGTACAAATTACATTTCGTACTAAGGTCTGGAGGAGCTCCATTGACTCTGTTAACAGGTGGGAGGGGTTAACTACTTTTGCAGATGGAAACGATTGGATCTGGGTTTACCGTGACGTATGTAACCCGAGTGAGTTATTAGCATTTAGCCTAGCCATCTCCTTTGCCGCTAACGGAGCTCGTGGGGAGTAGCGCCACAATCTTTGCCAGCAATGGGCTATATGCACAGGGAGGCGTGATGTCATGTCCTGTTAACAAAGCACAGCCCTTTCACTTCCTGCCTATGCTATCCTATGGCTTTTAGGTGAGTTTTAGTGACGTTTTTTACAAATTAGATTGATACATTCAGCTGTGAGGCTGACCCAAAAGTGTCGCTGTGCTTTCCCTCTCAGGTAGAGCTTTGACTGTGGCCACTCGATTTGTAAACTTTATAAAACACAATGACAGGGCAATCAAAGAGCACTGCTGTGTCCCAAAAATGCCCAGTAGCCTCACAGTTTAATTCCCGTTTGAGCATTATTTGGGAAACTCGTGTAAACCACTGCTGAACTCCAGTGAAACTCAAGCCCTTTCCCGCGAACAGGAAGTGAAATGGGGTAGTAGCTAAAACGC